TATACATACATGTATACAAAGAATATATATATTATAATATATATATATATATATATATATATATATATATATATATATATATATATATTATAGAATTAAAATTAGATCTATTATAGAATTAGAGAACAGTTTGAGAAATTATTTATAAAAGCAAATACAAAATACAAAGTGAAATAAAAAATTACTTTATAGCCAAATAACGAAGCAATTTCGAAAGAAATCATTTTCTTGTTTAGACAAATTAAATAACATGACAAGTTAAACAAAATGATATGTCATTTAAATAATCATTTTTCAAATATTTTATTTAAATAATGCCTATGTCCGATTTCTAATATATATTCTTACTTGTTTTGTACGTATTTATATCGTATGGAATACCAGTCTTTCATGTTATTTATCCAATGTTAATTATTCTTTCGATATTGTTAAATTATAGTACATTGGACGGACATTTTCTTATTCGTACGACTTGATTGAAGAAACATAAAAATTTTAACACTTTAAAAAATTTCGTATACTTACTGATGCAAGGTGCAATATGCGATCTACTCTGTTGGTAACCTCTGGCACATCTGTTACAAGTGGTACCAGTTACCCCGTCTTTACACGGACATTGGCCGGTACTTTGGTTACAAGTTTTTCCGGAAGCTCCGATTGGATGGCAGTCACACGCTGTAACACGCAACATGCAAAATAAGGGGTAGTTAGTTATAGTTGTATTATTAGTTTGTATTGTTACATCAAGAAAATGATTCGTGTTACTAGTTCTTATTTACTCCAAGAATTCATACATACATATATATAATAGTGTTATATTACTAAATGTTCAACTTTCAAATATCACTATACGAGTATAGTAAAAATTTTCTTTCTGTGATTTTATTAATAGGGCATTGCAAAAGAGTTAGTTACTTTGTGCGTCCTATTTTATAAATAAGATACACTGGTTACGCAAGTACAATACAATAAGAATATTACAATTTGTAACAATCATAAATAATAAATATTATAAAGAATTGATACAATTCTGGAAGCATTATCTTTTTGAAAATCTAATGAAAGTAATATTATTACAAAAGTACAATTACAATAATAATGAGATATTTCATGTTATCAAATAAGCCCAATTTTATAATTAAATATGTTGTTAATTGAAATCGATTTTATCATTTTATTCCTCATTTCCATTCTTTAATCATCTTCTCTTTCAATAATCGAGCGCCAAACGAGCCACGCGAATGTTATAATTTCCGATGTCACTCATTGATTCATCGATCAGCGTTTTCCCTCTTTTCCTTTCTTCGTAATCAGCACATTCAGAATTAAGGGAAGTGGAAAGAGGCTAAAAGCAAAATCGAGGGAGAAATGTTCGCTCGGAAAGCCAGCTTGACACGTTCCTTTTGCCCACTTACTTATGCAAGCTCGTATTTTTCATGCGAGAGAGACACTGAAAAGCGGTTAATTACGATTGCACTTCGAGCCGAGTGCATCACCGCGAAAATCTAGGAGGAGACTCTCGAAAACTCTGTCGGTCGTTGCTCGTCTGCATTTCCATTTTCCCTTCCCTCTCGGCCCACTTTTTTATTCTACTTCCACTTGGCTGTGGTATTACTATTTCACAGTAAAGCTGTCGTATTTTCATGCAGCGTTGCAAGCCACCAGCTTGTTGCCTGTCTGTGAATAGCTATCGATTGTTTCATCCGTTTTTTTTTTTCTTTCTGTTCCATCCTTTTTAACGCGTTACATGCAGTATTAAAAATTGTCCCTTGGCTGTTTATTTCTAAAGATTGTTCGTGTAATGTGCGGCCAGTGTTGCAATTATTCTGTTAATAATTCTACGTCAATGAAGATCGATGTGTTAAATGAACAAGAACGTAATCTGTTTTTACTGAATTATTAATAAAAAAAACCTGTTGTTTTCTTCGTCAATTTTTATATTTAAATAACATAAAGCACTTGTAAAATAGTTTTAACAATCTGTCGTTTAAATATTCTACCGTCGATAAGTTTTGCTATTTGTTACTCAACCTCTTGCGCTGGAATGACGCTCATCGAGAATTTTTTGTTTCAAAATTGTAATATTTTCTCAGTTCATATTTAAATAGAACAAACTAGGCAAAACAAATAATGAATTTATTACTTCTCAATAATTTCTATCCAGTGATATCATACCGACGAGTTCAAAAAGAAAGCGAAGAATTACTGTATACGGTTCGGTCGCTCGTTATGGTCCGCAATCAGTTGCCAGCGCAAATGGTTAAAATCGTAATATCAGTCGTCGAAAGTTGAGGATAAAAGAAAGATATGTAAAAGCGTATTTTCGAAATATTTTCGATTCTCATCTTTATCAATTTTAATTATATGTGGTCGCTAAATAAATATAGTATGTAATTTGAAAAAAGAACATTCAAGGTGACAATGAACGACGATGGTCAGTTCAGATAAAGCGTACAATCTCGAGGAGGAGTACGAAGTGACCATTTGCACTTCCGCGAAACGGATTAATCTTGAAGAGACTGCCGAAGGGACGAGCAACCGGTTCACGTTTCTCCAACATTCATACCACAAGGGCAGAGCAAAATTTTAACCATGACCAAATGGAAGATTGTTCAAGAATCAACAACAATTATTATTTACGTAGTAGTTAAGCAATTAATTTAACAAAAAGTAAATAATTGAGATAGTTTTTCTCATCTATTTAATTTATTTCTTTTATTATACTTATGTTTAGCGACCAATAAATATAATCAAGAAAATAAACTTCTTACTATGCTTAAAAAATATTGAAATAGAAGAAAGACATTTGTATTACCTGATTTTACTTTTGTATGATAGTTTGTATAAAATTTTAAAATTGTATAATTCGGTAACTTGATTAACGATTATGACTAACGTGAAATCATGTCCACGATCAATGTTTACGACTATTGATTAATTCAGTAATTAATTCAGTAATCAAAGCAAATGTAGTCAGTAAGCATGATTAATTTAATAACCATTAATCACGAAATGATTATGTCTTTGGTCATGATTGATAGAAATATAGTATTATCATAGTTATAATAATATTGAACAGCAAAAGATAAATTAAACGATTACAAATTACAGATTAATGATTACGAAATATCAAATGTAATCATGATTATTGATTTATCTTAGAAATGATTAAGTGAATTTAGAATTGATCAGTAATTACAATTACCACAACTTAATTTTAGTGATTAATTAGTAATCACAAAATAATTAATTATTGTTTAACTCTGGTATAATTAATATTTAAAACAAAATGTGGAAAAATTTTATTTGAAATAAAAAATAAAATAGGAATAGAAATGAAGATGAAGATGAAAATAAAAAAAATAAAATAATTAAATAATTAAATAATTAAATAATTAAATTAATAAAATAATTAAATCTTTCTGTTTCAGAAATAATTTTTCATTTTAAAAATAACTTTATTTTCAATCGAGATTAAATAAATAATATTCAAATAATCATTTTAACTAATATTTCTAAATAAAATGATAAATAATTTGCATTTTGAGTCATAAACAATATTATAATAACATTATAACATTTGTTTTCAAAATTGGTGTTAGCCTTGAATAAAAAAACTTATATCTGTAGGAAATTGAGGAAATATTTTTGATGTAATTGAAATATTTATTGTAATAATAAAAAACTATATCATTTGATACAAAAATATTGAAATAATTTAGAAAAAGATAATTTTTATACTTCAAATTAATAACCACAACAATTATTTAAATATTTAAAAAAAAATACATTTAAATATACTAAATATTAAATATTAAAATTTAAATATTAAGTATAAATATATATTTGTAAATATTTTTAAATAATGCCCAATATTTTGAATATCTTTAAATAACTCCATTAGAATTCTATTAATTAACTAATTACTTAATCTAGAAATGCCTAATATTGTTTGAAAACCTTCTATTCACATATATCTTTTGAGATATATTCTGTACTTCAAACTAATCAATTTCATACGGATATATATTAAAATATACGAAGTGTAAAACAATCCACACGTAGAAAATAATTCTATTAAATGTGTATAGTTCATCGATTCATTCAATAGTCATAAAATGCAATTTCTTCGCTTGTTGTTATTACTTTGAACTCGGTTTTCCCCGTATACGACTTGTTACGAAATATCAAGCGCGAAACATGCCACCACGGTCGATCTCTAGGAAATCGGGCGAAATCATGTCGTATGCTTTTTTCGCGACGATTCTCTCAATTATCACACGGTCATTTAAGCGCGCGTGTTCCGTGGATCGGCTGTAACAAGGCGTAACGCGAGTAAAATGTAAAATGGCCAATGATTTACGAGCGGTACATGTACTTTCTTTATCCTCGTAGGTGTCTCGGAGTCATGTTTATATTAGCTAGCAATAAGTGACACGCCAGTATGCCTGCTCATTTCACAGGCGTAAACGTGAGTTACGGTGCTCCGTTGTGCTTCCTGAGCACGCTATATACGACCGACTGTTCCCCGTGACCCGAGTGAAATCCGTCCCGACAGTTTGTATCGTTGCATTGCATCAAATAACCTGCGCCACGTTTTTCGATAATGTTTCTCGATCTAATTCGTGTAATCCGAGATTCGAAAGTCTTCACGGCCAATCTCGAGCCGCTCCGCGAGTAATTTGCACGTACATGCACGCTTGTTGTTTGCTTTCCTTCATGGGAAAATGAGAAAAATTTATTTTATCACCGACATGCTATTTTAGCGCAACGTTTGATTAAAGTCGTTTACCAGGCCGGCCGCGTATATGTTTCGAGACTTTAATCGCTCTACGGCTTTTAATCGAAAGGAAAATCAAACGTCTGAACCACAGGAATTCCCTTCCCCCGTTATCACAGAGTTCAAAGAGTTTTCTTTCACGAGTTTAACGAGAACTCGCGTTGAATAAAACGGAATTACTGGCGTTTCCGAGCTTTCAACAAACGAGTTTTTCTTTTACCTTAAAACGCCATTTGACCCTGAAATGCCAATCTACAAAATATTTTCCTTTACTTTTGTTACTATCGTTGTCTCGTAAAACTAAATGAAATATTGTTTTTTCAAAGTTGATTACGTAGTAATGTAATTCAGCCTATCGTGTGTTTTCTGTGCTTATATTTGTATTTTTATCCTCAGAAATTTTGTCAACATTTTTCTCATTTTTTTGATTGTTTCGATGTTAGGAATCTTGTTATTTTCGGATTTTGAAAATATGATTTGTCAACGATTTAACATATTCTTAGTGTCAAAAGTTTCCTTTATGGTGTGGTTTTAGCCTTAACAATAAAACGAATTATTTTATTAGCAATGTTCATTTTCTAAAAATTAAACAATATAATAAATACGTGAAAGGATTATAACATATTTGAAATTAGAGTAAATTATATAAATGTGGAATATGTACATAGAAAGAAAGAGTTTTTAATGAATTTTAAAACAAATATTAAGCTAATTCAAGGAAACATAAAATATAATATTGCGCTCTCATATTATAATAGCAACAGTGGAAAGCGCAGAAGCTGAGAATTTATCGCTATTACGGTTTAACGCATTGGAAAAGCAAAAAAAGAAAAAAAAAAAAGGAAAAACGTTGATGCCTCGAAAAGACGTTCATAAATACAACTTACCAGGCCAG